ATTGAAATTTGGAAAAAGATGTATTAGGATATATTAGGAAGATGTATTAATATCCTTGTATATTTGTAAATAAGAAATGATAAATTTGGATTAATTTTTGAAAATAAGAATATATGAGAAATAGATTTTTTTTTTTTTATTATGAAGTCATTAATCAAGTTGAAATTTAAAGTTTAAAGATGTCTTTAAAGCAATATTTTCCAATCAATATTGTATTGTAACCCATTACAAAAATTTTACTAAAATTCGACAAAATGTATAATATATTTAATATATTTAATATTTTTTTATATACTATTTATAAATAATCCCAAGTTAATCAATGAAAAATAATTACTGGAATATATATACGTTAATAATATATATATATATTATTATTTATATATATATATTATTAATTATAATATTATTTTATCTTTTAAAGAAACAATAAATTATAATGAAGCAAATAAAAATTTTCATTAAAAAATTATTGTGTGGCAAAAATCTAACTATTTTTAAAATGTATGATAAAAAGGTTGAGAAACACTGATCCGAAATAATGAATGAAAAAGATGTCAAAATATTTTATAAACGAATATAACAATAGTAAAATTTTAATATTTTAAGATAATAAGTAGCACGAGACAACGATAAATAATACTATTGTTTCATTATAAAATTCTCATTGGCAATACAACTTGCCATATGTAATATAAACAGCTAATATAATATCCAAGAAATTATAGGTACTAAGGAGCAATGAAACGTATGTTGGCAAGATTGCAGGTAATTGTGTCAAGTTGGAATCGTGATAGGAAGAAAAGCCGGTTGAGAATTGCAGTGAGAAGCAAATGTAGAATCGGAGAATCTTTCAAGGTTATTTCCGTCTTAGAAATATAATGTTGGTAATGTATATGTTTTTTACTTCTGATGAACTCTTATGATATATTAGAGAGCTCTGAAATCCATCTGTATATATTCTTTGAACATGACTCAAAAGTTCAAAAAGTCTTTTCAAGTAATTCATTCATAGTTCAATAAAAAGATTCTTAAATTATGAAAATCATTTTCAAGGAATATGAATTATATTTATTGACTTGATCCTTCAATTATATAATATAACTGTTTTCCTTTGAATATATGAATATAGATAATTATAGATAAAAAAATTGATAAACTTATTTTTATTATTTTTCCTTGTCATCTAATTAACATTGATATTCTAATTAATTAATTAATATTTCAAAGTTTAAAAAGGTAAAAAACTTGACTTACAAAATTCAAATTATAACTATTTTAATTATAGATCTCATCTATTGTAAAAAATAAAAAATATTATTTATCAATTTTCTTTTGTAGGCTTTATATGTAATATGTAGATATAGAACCCTTTTTTTTAAATCGAATGTATAACTTTCCTTTTTCCTTTCTCTTTTTAAATTAAATTAGATAATAAGCCTTCTTATAGAGAAATTGATCACTGAGAAAGTATCCATATGTTATTATCTCAATTTCAAAGTATTTGCATACTTATTACCATATAGATGAATAAAATAAAATAAAATAAATAATATAAAATAAAATGAATAATACGAGTAAAAAATTTATTCTAAAATTAAATCAAAAAAAAGAAATAATAAAAATTCATATTTTTTTAAATTCATAAAATTCATAGAATACTTCAAGATCTAAACCAGTGG